CCAAATGGAAAGAAAAAACTTCCGCATTTCGCAATGTGTGTGTGTGAGTGTGTGTGTGTATGTGTGTACGGTCCTTCACTGACAGCCGCCTCTGTGGATCTTGCCAGAAATTATAGTGAAAAGTCCTACATGACGGTAATAGTTTGATTGCAGTGTTTACTTCAATAATGCTGCTAATATATGCTTACTCCATGTCTTAATTTCATTTCTGTTCAGTTCAGTTCAGTTATGACTTTAGCTGGATTAAGGTCATCGCTGTTTGGAGCTTATGTAGGCCTTCAGTTCAACATACATGTTTAACTGAATAAACACAAGGACATCTTATTGAACATCATTTATTTTCATCACCAGTTATCATAGTAGAACAGTTTCTCAAGCAGTTTGTGATGCATTCTGAAAACTGAAGATGAGCCCATGGTCTAATGTGCCACCTGGCTTGAGAAACCCGTTCTAAAAGACTTAGGGCCCTATTATACACCCGGCGCAGTGTGGCGCAAGGTGTGACGCAATAGTCTTTTGGCAGTTTAAGCTTGGCGCAAGAGTCGTTTTGAGGCGTTGGGCTATGCTGTTTAAATAACTCAGGTTTTTGAGCACATTTTGCTATTATTATTCATTTATTCGTTTGCTGGAAATTAGAACTGAATTTAGAAATAGTTTTGAAACGAATATTTGCGCTTAACAAACAAAAGAATTTATTTATAGACTAATTGATGTCTGTGCGTAAAGGTTTCCCTATCCAAGAGCGAAAGTGAAAGTGATCCATTATCTCTCATTCTCACGCAGTAGATGTTCTGTTTAACAGTTTTCTGTTAAAAAAACAGTTAACTGTTTGCTTGTGAAATGCTCATTTTTTCCACTTAGACTTACTTTGCGTCCTGTAAATAGCGAATGCGCTCTTGGCGCGACGAAGCTGACTCTTAAAGGGAATGGGAGATGAGACTCTAATTGGTTTATTCTTAAAACACACCTATAACTCATTAATAAAATAAACTCAACCGTTTTAGACCATGCGCCGAAGCGCAAGGCAGATTTCCCGTCCTTAAATTAGAAAAAACGCGTCCTGACACGCCCTGAAAGCATTTGCGCCCTGCGTTTTGCACATGGACCGTCAAAATAGAGCCCTTACTGTTAGTCATTATTTGGGTAGCACACATATTCTGAATGCCTGCGGCAGAATTCAAATGAGCCATTTTAATCTAGATTAATTATAAGATTACAGCAAGATTAATCTATGCCCACATACAGTTTCTATTTTCATTGTTGACAGATCGGGTCTGAGGTTTAATTTACTGTACATAGCAAACATACACATGCTACGTATGTTATGCATTTTTCCTCAATAATCCCATCCCAGGTGAAGAGAGCATGCTGATATAAAAATTAATTACTCCTAATGTGCTTTCCCTGACCGGGTTCTGTGCCCCTGCGTCTGCCACATTGCATTGTGTTAATTAGTGGAGTTGCACAAGTGAGACGGCTGTGGCAGTTCTGAACTGCTCCACTCCTAATTAGAAAATATTTTAAAGACCAGGGGACCGACACAACCTCGCCAGTTTCTTCCACTGCCAATAATAACCCCATTCATGATTAACTCTGAATACTTAATCAACAGTGTGCGCATTTGCCATTCCTTCGCAGAAATTACTCGCGGGGAAAGTTATAGCACAAGTTTGTGACTGCATTCAAAACGCAAATTGGTGCAAACACAGGCTCGCTCGACTCCACTAATAGCCTTTTGACGCTGAACTCGGAGCTCTGTGAAGTGATGCCAAATTCAACCCACATGTCCACAGACACAAACAATGGCATAACTATGTTGCTGAATAACCAACTTACAAACAAACAGCACGCCGCAGTCTTTAAAGGGTTGATTCACACGAAAAGTTAAGTTCTATTACTTATTGATCACCCTCAAGTCATTCCGATTCCCTGAGATCTTTGTTTATCTTCTGATCACAAATGAAGATGTTTTAGATGAAATCCAAGAGCTCTCTCTCCCTCCATAGACAGCAATACTCCTGAGACATTGAAAGTCCAGGAAAAAAAAAAAACTAAAATTCTATCAAAACATTCCATGTGATTTCAGTGGCTTTCCAAGAAAACCTCTAATAGCTTTGTTCGGTAAGGTCTTCTCTTCCTCTTCAGGTCATCAGTGTGGTTACTCCGGGCAGTAAGACTTATTGACATTACAGTCAGGAGGCCTATCTGTGTAGTGAATGGTCTGTCGGTGCCTTCGCAAAGTTGCATACCCTTCGCCATACCCCGATGTGCTTTACCTTGGTTTGACTTGGTAGAGTGGGCGGCGGTGGAAACTAAGCGAGGTCAGTGGCCGGAGGGTTTAACAAGTATGGAGTCCCATAGAGGAGCACAAGATGGATCTTTTGCAGGTGTTTCCTTTGTTTAAATTTGTTGCACTTTCGCTGGTTCTCTTTCCTCCTTGAATGAGTGTGAGCTTGAGCTATTTCTACAGTAGAATATCATACCTTTCCAGCTTATTACCAAAACACTTGCAAAAAAAAAAAAAAAAAACTCAACACAGTGGACCACAGAGACTCCATTGTAGTAGCTATTCAACACTGTTTTTGCCAGAGGAGCACAGACAGAATGAAGAAGTATAAATGCTACCAACAGCGTGGGCTACACACATCATGTGCCATGGGGTAGGCCAGTCACTCGAAGCAGAACTATAAATCAGGCTTAACTCGCAAACACTCTATTGACCATAGTAAACACTGAAATCAAAGATGAATAAAGTCGCTACATTGTTTTGGAACACAAAAGTGATCATGGAGCTTCGTATGATTATAGTTGAACAACTAAAAAGTTACATGGAATGTTTTGACAACACTTTTGGTTTCTTTTCTAGACTTTGAATGTCTCTGGGCCATTGCTGTGAGGGGTCAGAGATCTCTCAGTCTCTCAGATTTGATCTAAAATATCTTAATTGATGTTCTGAAGACGGATAAAGGTGACATGAGAGTGAGTAATTAAAAGAATTTAGATTTGTAGGTAAACAAACCTTTTAACTCTTGTTTATTGTTCAAATTTACTACCCTTTCCTTATGTTGGTAGATGTTTTTGCCCCTGTTTTTGATTTCCATTATAACATATAATCATGCATTCTTGGTTGTTGGTGGCTTTCCCTGTTGGGAAGACGCAAACTTTGTCATTTTTACTGTTGATCATCAGTTGGAGTGCAACAAAAAGCTTTATTTATTTTATTTTTTTTTTAAGTTTCTGACTTTTTTTTGGGGTGTAGTGTGTATGTGTGCGAGAACCCTTTGCGCACTTTCCTTGATACGTCTGAGAAGATCAAAATAAGGACTTTAGCTCTCAGAAGATAGTAAACATAGTAAGTGTATTCATGCATGTACACTATAATTTAATGTTTTACTCCATATACAAGCCAAGCCTTTTTTGCAGAGGCATATCTAAAGGGTTAATAGTGCCAACTGACGATCAACATTAAAAATGACCAGTTTTACCAGAGAGTTTTGAGTTTTTGAAAAATTTCATAGCATTTCACCAAAATATGTGTTCACCTGTGGTAAATTCAGTTGATTGGACATGACTTGAAAAGACCTGTCTATATAAGGTCCCAGGGTTGACCAAGGAATTGTCTGTAGACCTCACAGAGAGGATTGTCTCAAAGCACAAGGCTGGGAAAGATTACAGAAAAATATCTGCTGCTATGAAAGTTCCAATGAGCATATTGGCCTCCATCATCCGTAAGTGGAAGATGTTTTGAACGACCAGGACTCTTCCTAGTGTTCGGCGGCCATCTAAGCTGAGTAATCGGGGAAGAAGGGCCTTAGTCAGGAAGGTGATCAATACCCCAATGGACAGAAGAGACAACCATCTGTGCAGCAATCCACCAATCAGGCCTGTATGGTAATGTGGCCAGACTAAAGCCACTCCCCGCCTGGAATTTGCCAAAAGGCATCTGAAGGACTCTCAGACCATAAGAAACTAAATTCTCTGGTCTGATGAGACTAAAATTGATCTCTTTGGAGTGAATGCCAGGTGTTATATTTGGAGAAAACAAGGCATCACTCATCACCAAGCTAATACCATCCCTACAGTGAAGCATGATGGTAGCATCATGCTGTGTGGATGTTTTACAGCAGCAGGAACTGGAAGACTAGTCAGGATAGAGGGAAAGATGAATGCAGCAATGTACAGAGACATCCTGAATGTAAACCTGCTTCAGAGTGCTCTTGACCTCAGACTGGGGCGACAGTTCATCTTCCAGCAGGACAATGACCCAAAACACACCATTAAAATATCAATGGAGTGGTTTCACAACAACTCGATAAATGTACTTGAGTGGCCCAGCCAAAGCCCAGACCTAAACCCTATTGAACATCTCTGGGGAGATCTGAAAATGGCTGTACACCTTTGCTTCCCATCTAACCTGATACTGCAAAGAGGAACGGGCAAATATTCCCAAAGATAGCCGTGCCAAGCTTGTGGCATAGTATTCAATAAGACTTGAGGCTGTAATTGCTGCCAAAGGTGCATCAACAAAGGCTGTGAATATTTATGTACATGTGATTTTTCAGTTTTTTTTTTATTTTGAATAAATTTGCAACGTTTTCAAAATAAAAAAATTCACATTGTGATTATGGGGTCTTGTGTATAGAATTTTGAGGAAATAAATTAATTTAATCCATTTTTGAATAAGGCTGTAACATAAAAACATTGAAAAAGTGAAGAGCTATGCATACTTTCCGGATGCACTGTATAATTCCTACCCCTTCCTCTTGGCCCTTGAAACCGTGTGTGAAGGGGAAGGGCTTCACAATTTACCCCAAAGAAATGGGACACCACTACAACAACTGCACACTGCACATCATATGTCATCGCGATCAAGGGTCAATATTAAATGTGTAAAATCGAAACCAACTTGAGTGAATGTGTGCTAGCATGAAAAAAACACTGAAAGTGCAAACAAATTCACCATTGAGACGTTTAAACGCAGTGTAGTGAGTGTCACTCACCTCTGTGCTCCCTGAGTCAATTGCTTTGTCGACATACAGCAGCGACTGTCCCTCTCCACGGCATACACCCTCCGACCAGGCTGCACATCGCAGGTGAGCACAACACTGGCCTGCATGTGCAAAAGCACAATAAAAACATAAGCCATTGAAAGAATTTGATGCAAGAGTAGCACATTGAGTACGGCTACCTACCAGTGGGGTCAAATAAAAATGCAACATTGATTTCATCAGGAAGGCCTATTTGGCCCAGTTCATCCCAGAACTTGCGTCCAGGCTCCTCCGCAGCAGGGTCTGTACTACCAGGAGCAGAGGTTGAGTGCAGGCCGCTGTCTGGAGAACTGACCCTGAGAAAGGAAGCGATTGAACACATTAAGCTCCATCTTGAATGACTGAAAAAGAAGATATTTCAAGCTGATAGGTGTTGCCCATTCATAAGTCAGATTATACACATTCATTCCTATATATTAACATCATAATCATGTTTCAATTAGGCCCACTATGCAACCCTAACATCCATGAAGCCCGTTCCACAATGGTGAGGTACAGGGTTATCATACTTGGCTCCAACACAAGGACTGGCTGTTTAGAGGCAAAGTATGAAAGAGAGAGGACGAGAGAGAGCCGGAAAGGGGGTGGGGGTTTGGAATGACTGGCTTCTTGGATGTGGTGCTGAGAGAGAGCGAGCCACAGAGAGTCAGAGAAGCGGAAAAAAGGAATTAACATTTAAAAGGGGAGCCGGTTTGAAGAGGGCCAGCCAGAAGTGGGCTGCAGCAGGGACAGGATGAAAGACTACTGTATGCAATCCCGCTTCTGTCCAGAACATCTGCATAAATATAAATAAACTGTTTGCTGGGCTACTTCCTCTTTAAAAAGGCTTACATCAGAGGAGGAGTGACATTAGGGATGGGTATCATGAGGAACAAAATGATTGTGTTTTTGATTCTGATTCATACTAATGATTCCTTTAAATGTACAAGAGTTATTCTGTTGTGAATTGGCTGTCTGCATTAAATACAAATACATTTTATTAAAAAGGAACTTTTTGTTCACAATTTTGTTTTGAAATTCGTTATAATTAATGCATTGTACAGGGCTCGAAATTGCTACCGTTTTTGGTCGCATATGCACCCTAAATTTTAACATATATTCGGAAGCATTTGTGCGAGTGCATAAAATTTGTTGCCGTGCGACCAGATTTAATATTCTTAAAGTACTGTGACGGTTGGGTTTAGGGTAAGGGTGGGGGCAGACGTGAAAAAAATTTGTGCCATCAAAATTAGTGTGTTGATGCATGCGATTAATGTGAAATATTTAACGTGTAAACAAATTAACAACGCAGTTGCAGGTTTATTTATTTCCTGTTGTGGTCGACGTGTGGTCAGCGTGCAAAGAAATATGAATAAGATCAAGAAATGACTTTTAGAAGGAAAGCTTCAGCATAAAACAATTAATATTGCAGCACCAGGGTATCCAGCGTTTCCTCCAGAGTTTCATGTAGTTTCAAGGTGTTTTACTTTTAATCTTTCTACTTTAACTGCAGTTCGGCAGTTTCACTTTCATTCAGCAACATGTTGTTTATGCCCCCGTGACAATTATTTTATGAGAAAATGAAGTGAGAAGTGCTGGAAGAGTGTTGTTTTAAGGGAGTTTGATACATGCTGTAAGAACAACAACAACAAAAAAACTTCCTATTTCATGACTAGGGTGATCCTTAAAGGTAATAAAAATAAAAAAATCCCTGGGTACATGGTAGACACTTAATCAGAGTATTATCTTAATCATATTAAAGTATTGGTGTCCATGTAAACATACTCATTGAAAGTGCCAGATAATGTTTCAAGCTGTCAAAGATTCCTCTGCCTTTAAATTGATTCCATGAGTTTGATGCTTTTCCCCCCCTACACGCAACTTTTGTTAAGCGTCTGCTTCACGATGCTGTGTCAGAACCTTTGCTTGTAAAATAAAGGCATACTTTAAAACTACGTCCACGCACATTCAACCTTTCTTTCTTTCTCTCTACACAAAGAATAAAGTTCTACAACCCATTCATAAGCTCCTCTCACATCTACTTCAGAAAATCCCAACAAAATTGCTACCTGCTCTTACTTATTATCAAATCATCCTCACTGGCAATATTCACAACTGTATTTCTGACTATACATACTGTAAGCAGCTTGGGGTGAAAATAAACCAATAAAAATAAAATAATCGAACAAGCAAAACAGCAATTGAAAAGCTGATGCGTCTGTTTCTGTCAAAAACTACAGAGAGACCAGTGTTTAATCAGCTCTCTGCTACTCTCTCGCTGAATGACCTATTCGATGACAACCAGTCTGGCTTCAAACGCAGACACCCCACAGAGACCGTCTTGCTGACTGTTGCAGAAACTCTTTGGCTGGCAGGAGTGAACTCCAAATCATCTGTCCTTACTTATTCTACTGAACCTGTCTGTCGCCTTCGCGCTGTAAACCAGCAGATCCTCCTGTCCACCCCTTCTAGCCTTGGCTTCAAAGGTGCAGTTCATTAGTGGCTTCAGTCTTACATCATAGGCAAATCTTTTAAGGACTCATCAACCGGAGTGGTGACTGAAAGCTTTGGTCTTTTAAAGGAAACTGAAGAAAAAGCTGAAATAAAAATTTGGCCAAAACGAAGTTTATTTTGACAGTTTAAAACAGCTTACCAAAGCAAAAATGTGGGAGTTTGTTTTGGCTCCTCAACACCATTAAGGCTACCATTGAACCGTGATGATTAATGTCTCGTTCACACTAGCAGTGACTTTGTAGCTGCCTGTCGCTCTAGGTGGTGACCTGCTGCAAATGCAGGTCTGTGTAGATCTACAGCACAGAGAATCCATCCGCCTCTGAGCGAGCTGAGAGAGGATCATGCGAGCTCTACTGGCGCTCCTATAGGCTGAGACTCAAGAAAGTCGCTCTTCATTTGCATAAAGTTGAAGGATTCTCAACTTTGTTGCATCGCTCATCACATCTATTCGATCACCAAAGGTCTCTGTCGCTCACATAGACGAAGGTTGCTGGAAGATGCTCACTCTCCGCTTACGCTCATAGTGTGGCTTAAGGCTGAATTAAAATTCTGAGTCAAGTGATCGACATCCATGCTGCATGTTTTGTGCATAGCTTTGCATTTATACTTCTGCGTTCTGTTTAAGTTGCTCTTCATTAACACTTCCACAGCAGATTTTTATGTACCTCTGTGTCGAGAATTAAACTGAATTTAAATATTAAATTAATACACTTAATTGACAGATTTCATTTCTTCATTTTCCTTCGGCCTGCCCCCTAATTTATCGAATGTCGCCACCGCAGAATGAACCTCCACTTCTTGGACAGATTTATGTATTTTTAGTTTTAGGTGGTTTGTGTTTTATGTTTGGTAAAATAATTTCTAATGGCATCTTTAGTGACATTTTAACTAGTTACCCTGTCTTGTTTAGATTTAGAGGTTTTTGCAAAAAAAGCACAAGTGGATTCAGCGGGTTTTGATGCTAAATTTGAAATAGAAAGACGTTTGAAAAGACAGCCTACCAAACAATGTTATTTTATTAACCAGCTATTAACTTTATCTGTTTCCCAGAGATGGGTTGCAGCTGAAAGGGCATCCTCTGCGTAAAATATATGCTAGATAAGTTGGTGGTTCGTTCTGCTGTGGCGACACCTGATTAATAAAGGGACTAAGACAAAAAATTTAATTAATTATTGAACTTCATCAGTGTAAAGAAACTGCTGAACCTAATTGGAGGAGCCTGATAGAAAATGCTTATTTAAAAGAAAAGAGGTCTGATGGATGTACAGGGTTTTGCATATTAACTTTTAATTTCTAGAAAATAAATAAATAAATAAATAATTATATTCAGTGAAAAATTATCTGCAGACATGGATTGGCCTTATTTGAATTATTTTATAAAGATGAACAAAAGTCTTTAGATCATGGACAACATGAATAGGAGTTATTGACAATACAGATATGTCGAGTCTGTATTTCATCCACCTTAACAGCCTCCACCTTAAATGAGTAGCAGAGGTCCTCATTCGCTCTGTTAGTGTTTTCACTCCTCTGTCAATAACTGGCACAGTTCCAGCTCAGATCGCCCAATCACATGCCTCCAACTCAACAATCCACCGCCTGCTGGCAGCCTGCCAGAGACGGCACAGAGAACATTACGTCACCATTCCTGTGGGAGGCATATGATTGGTAGCGAGGAGCTGAGCAAATTAGGCACTCGTCCAATGAGCTCAAGGGTGGCTGTGGACAGGAACTTTTGACAACAACAGGTCACGTGGAGCTCAGTGAAAGCCTGCCGGTGGAGTTCTCCCTTATGGATTTCTCCTTTAACCCCCCCATCTAGTAACTAATCATCAGGCAATTTTGGCACCAAATTAATTGACCCAAATTGAATTGTGGTGTTGGATTCATTAGCAATTCCCAGCGTATTTGGGTCAAAGCACTCCATTCCTCTCCGTCAGAAAGCACAATGGAAGAGAACACAAGTTCTGTTTGCCCCAAAACTTCAGTAATCGGATTGAAGAGCATTTAAAGATTTTGTTTAGGAAAAGCAACTCTGTTTTCAAGACTGAAACATGCATTTTTGTCCTAATTATGAAATAAATCTGTCATTTAACCATGGTCAATTTAAAGTATTTCCATATGACTTGCATTATATCAAGACTGCTCTTATACATAAAGAAAAAAAGAAGATATACTGGTGAAGTCAGATTAAAAAAATAAAAACGTATTCAAGAATTATTCTAGAATCAATTTTAGTTATAGGAAAACAGCTCAGAGTGCATGGTAGGGATGCAACGATTGTGGATTTTGGTAGTACGATTATAGTCACAGGATAATAGAGGAATGATCATGGTTATCAAGATTATTATGCATTCATTAACTTCGAAACACTACTAGTTTAGGAAACTGCTTATATTTTAAAGAGTTAATTATTGCTGCTCAGTAACTGAATAATACAGTACAAAATAATAATAAAAAAACAATAGTCCATTTCTCTTTCGACTTAAAAATAAGTGAAAAACATTTTTGCCATTTAAATAAACAAAAATAAATAAATTAAAAGAAAAGAAAATACAAAAATAGTATTTGTCTAAATGTAAATCTAAGCTACATATTAGCCAAGTATTCCCTTTTAAAGGGAACAAATGTAGTCAAGGGCTGCTAAACATGTCTCAAAGGTACTTTTGATCTACTATATTATGAACTTGTTTGGTATTTTTATTTCATTTTTCAAGTGGCCTTAACTAATATGTACTTATACAGAAATTAATAGTTTGTTACAATGCACTTATTGTGTAAATAGATGTATTTACTGTGTACTTATGCTTGGTTAAATACATATATGTAATTACAGCTGTAACTAATTTTTGTAATTACATTTGTAAATACACTGTTGACCATCCCTTACACCTTAACCCACCCTTAAACCTACCCACACCACCAAACCTGTCCATAACCCAACCTCTATCCCAACTCAAAAGCACCACAAGTGTTCTCAAATACATTATAAACACAGTAAATACATTGTATTTATTTTTTTGATGTAAGTACATAGTAGTTATGGACACTTAATATAAAGTGGAACCGAAAAGTGTATATTCCATACAAAGTATGAAGCTGAACAGTCAGTTCCTATCACGTGACTCGCAGTGTGCTCGCACTATTCTTTCAACTGGATGCGCCTGGAAAGTGAACGGTCATGCTGCATGTATGCCATCAATCCCAATATGCGCTCAAAATAAGAAATAAAGAAGTAGCGCACACAAAAGAAGCAACAAGCAAGCAACTTTAAACTACTGCACAGTAGGCATAACTTTAAGCTACAGCTGTTTTGTTCTGTGCAGAACCGCGGTCTTGAGAAGCCTTTATGATTAATTAACCGTCATGAATTTAAGCACGGTTAAAAGCGAAATCGGTAAATTGTTGCATGACTAGTATTTGGGTGAGTAAATAATCAAACTAAGGTTTATATATTATATATGTGTCTTCATGTTCTAAATAAATATCCTGAACTTTTGGTTTATAACAGAGCACTGTGCTTAAATGTACACACAAATGACAAAGCTGAACCTAGTTTACAGCAGCAGTGTGTTTGGTTATTAGGAATAATTACACTGAACATTCTAATGATGGTGATAGTGCCTAGCAAAGCACTCAACACTGTTTCAGCTGTGTGGGGTCACTGGGGTCATTGCTGTTTAAACAGGGGGCTTTTAGTCCCCACAACGAACTAAACCTGCAAGACTCAACTGTCTCAACTCTAAACTAGGGCTATCACCATATCTATTTTTTGCTATTGCACCCAAATTTATTGCGATAAACGAAATTATTGCCACTTTATAACTTACATCACTAATAAAAAATAAAATATTTTTATCACAAAATGGTGTAATAATTCAGGTATACCGTTTCAAAGAACATTTTATTTTTAAGAATACAATAATAAAAAATAAATATTAATAATAAATAATGTCAAAAGTAGAGTTTTAGAGCATCTCAGGTGCATTTGCAGGCCTTTTTTATTAAGCAGGCAAATTCCGAGACAGGACTGTTTGTTAAAGGTTGTGATTTCGCTCTGTCACCACTGGCTGGTAAATGCATCTGTTACAGTAAACCGTCTGGAAGAGCCCTGTCCAGTATTAACTGCAGTTGATGTTCCCATGTTGAAAAGATGCATAGGGTATTTATGTTTAAAGTGGGATTTAAGGTTAGTTGTGTTGCCTTTTTTCATTGCCACTGTTCTGAAACAAATTCGATTAACAGCTCGTTCACGTTAACAGGTTTTCCTTTCCTATTCTGCTTAAAGCCAAAATGCTCCCATACTAGAGGTGAAGACAGTCGCTTTGAAACAAAGTCCATCGCAAATTGTTTATCCTAACTGACTGTAGTTCCTAAACACGAAACAACGGGTTCGCGTCTCGTCTTCCTCACCTCCACTATCTGCTCTCTCTCGCACTCTGTCTGCATGTGTGTGTGTGGAAATGCTGCATAAGCCCTTGCATTCCAGCAGAATTCAGCTCGTTTGACAAAAAACTTAGCTTGTTATATTATGTAGCCTAATCATCATCATCATCTTAAATTTCTTTATATATAATAAGCAACACATCACGCCTCCAAAACTAACCACACTCATTTTCATTTATCGCACGCTAAGTCAGCATATTGACTATTGAGACAGGCCTACTCTAAACCTCTACACAGCCACGATAATCATCATCACACTTTATTTTGATGCTCCGTTTCTTGAAAATAAGTTACATTGCATCTACATGCCAACTTATTCTCATTAGATTATAAGCAGACTGTTAGGTTGGAGTTAGGTTTGGGGTTACGGTTAGTGTAAATTGACATATATTTGCAAAGTTTCTTATAGTCTGTTAAATGTCTGTTGAATGAGCAGTATCAACAGATATTAAGCAGACAGTCTACTAATACTCAAATGGACCATCAAATAAAAAAAATGTTACCACTAAAACACTTCAGAACTATACCAAACCAACTCCAAAATAACAAACACAATCTGTATTTCCTCATTCACATTCAACTAAGCACACACACACACACACACACTCACATACATTAAACACAGAGAAATTGAGGACTCTCAAACAGTGCTACAAGCAGTAACTTCATATTTTACTCAAAGATTACAATACCTTGCTCAGGGACATGATTATTCTTATTACTATATATTGAATAAAAATGTTCAGTCAATTTCTTATTTTAAAAACTGGAGCTCCGCTGACTCAATTCCTGTGTACATTTTGCATCTTTATTGCATTCCTTTTCCCATTTCCATTTAAAACTTGTTGGGAAAAACAAACATCCACACAAAGCACCTTCCCCAGACAGCAGCAGAGATAACTCACTTTTTTAGGCCACTCCCGCGATGCCCTGGGCTGCGGTTGTTGTCATTGTCATCGAAATCATTGTCGTCGTCATGGTAATCGTCGTCCTTCTCTGAGCTGCCGCGGCGGTTCCGGATGTGCAGGGGGACGTAACCAGGCGTGGGTCCAAATAGTTTTAACTCTCCCTGACCCAAGAGACTCTTTTCTCCACAGTAGCAGAAGGCACAGAGCTTTTCTCTGAAAGGGAATAAAGAACAGATATGTGAAGAAGAATTTTGAATACACCAGGTAATAAACATTTTTAAGTACACAAACATTGAAGTGATTGCTCACCCAACATTCCCAGTGCACTGTGCTGCTTTGCATACTTAAAGTACAACGCAGAGAATGCACTAACTAGACATGTTATGAATTCCATTCTAGCAGTTTTGTACGGCAATGGGCTTTTCATAGCCAGAAGCATTTGCACTCAAGTAGAGTGCTTTGGCCCAAGTCATTAAGCAGTTGCGCATCCAATCTTCACCGCTCTATTTTTCCAACAATCGAGACTACTCTGAGGTTTACAGTCCATGGCCCAGTGCCCTAGCCGAGGTCTGGGAGACACAACTCAAATAGGATTACGAGGGAAGATAAGATATCTCTGAATGCCTCTGACAGGGAAATCACAACTCAAATCAGTCAAATCAAATCAGACTAGAATCCCTACTCAACACACACCTCCCATCTTTATGTTCAAAGCTTGGGCTGCATGATATATTAAGGCCCAAATCTTAATTTTTTTTTTAACTTTACCTCTTCCCCTACTCATTGGCCCTTGAAATAGAGTGTGAAGGGAAAGGGCTTTAAATGTTACCCCCAAGAAATGGGACACCACTACAACAACCGCACACATCATTATATGCTGTCAAGAGCTTAAATGAGATCAACAATGGCGACTGCTGTAGTTATTTCAGTTGCGTTATTTTTTTGGTATTTATCTTCAGGAATCACTGAAGATATATATCATCATGTTATCATGATGATATAATTAACATTATAGCAGATACTGCAAAATACTCATTCCCAGCCATTAGAATTTTCTGACAGAGTATTCGAGTATACACAAGAGTTATTATCATTGATTATCAATAGCAAAATTTAGCAGGTCTATTTTTTTGTCTTAAGCATGTTGAATGACGCAATTATGAATGAATTAAAATATGTGCTTGTTTGCTGTAAAAATTTGTAGTAACAAAAAATACAAATTTCTGGATCTGCTGACTTCCGTGTGCAGCCATGTTGCTGTTATAGCTGGTCTATTCTTGGAAATTCGAGAGCAGTCCTGATAAATCTCAGTTTCAAGATTCCCTTAGCCCTACACCTTCACGCTAAAGAGAATTGGGACACCCCTACCCCTTCACATGAATGCGCAAAATGAGGGTAAGGGGAAGGGCTAAGGTGTAGAATTAGGATTGGGCCTAAAAAAAATGATATTCTGGCTCATTTCCACCAAACGTTATGGTTCAATACAGTAGAGTATGTAATTATCTCTGTTTACACTGTCAAAAGTTGTGAATGATACCAAATTAGCAAACTGTACCATACCATTTTTTGGGACTCTTTCATAAGAGTACTCAGCACTATGGACCCTTTTTCATATCCGGGTTTCTCAGCAGTGGAAGTCATCATAGTTGTGTAAACTTAAGAGCCCAGTGAATAGGAGAGTACAACAAATATATTTTTTTACAAACCGATTTGCTAAAATAAAAAAAAATAAAACTCCACAATAAAAACAGAAAATATTAAAATAGCTTGAGACTGAAAACAACAGCCGGAACAACGTCAAATTTACTGTCCTGTCCATAGATACTTCATTAGAAATGCCTGCCAAAAACTTTTTGTAATTTGATGCAAAAGATGATATAATACTAACATAAAGACATATAAATACGTTTAAAAAAATCTAACTATTAAAAAGTAAAATTCTAACCAGATGTGATAGCAACCAAAGAAATCCGCATACGCAAAATAACAAAAGCAAATCTAATAAAGTTACGTGTAATAAATTTAAATGACATAAGGAAAAAGTTTTGAACTGAACACATGAATAAAGGAAGGTGTAGAAAGGCAGTAAAAGCTCAGCTGAAATCTCTCAGTACCTTTTCAGCAACCCTCTGCCTTTCCTCTTTATAAATTAATATTGGCTGCTTCATTCCAACATCTACATTAGCAGGAGGATGATAATTAAACCAGGATTGACATTTCAGCAAGACGATGTAAAACACAGCCAAGGAAACTCTCAGATGCTTTCAGAGAAAGAAAACCAAGCTGTGAAATGGCCCAGCCAATCACCTGACTTGAATTCGATACAAAATACAAATTAAAGATCTGATTTGATAAACGAGACCCACAGAACCATCAAGATTTTAAAATTCAGTTGAATTCTGTGAAAAAAAACACACACCTGAGCAATTCATATGACTTCATTCTCCAAATTAAGCTGCCATCATTAAAAAAAGGCTTTTACATAAAGTAATAAATACATTTCAGTAGTTCAGTACTTTCTCCTTGTGCCATTTCATTGTCCACATATAAAATTTTTCAGATTTATTTTGTTTTGATTTATTTTAATGTTTGATTTTTCTTTCTTTTTTTTTTTTTTTACCAAAATCTGGTTCAATTCCATGTCAACAGATCCTTTAGGAATAGTATTTCCAGAAAAAACAAGTGCTCAATGCTTAATTTCACCACTGTAATATTAAAATACTACTTGCATGTTCTTGTTCTAAAAGAATTAGCATCTAAACTGTGCAAAAATTTGACTATCATTCAATTTATGAAGTTAAACACATGGTCACCAACAGATTAAACATAAATAATTTCTTTATTTGTATCTGGCGTTGGTATTTGCTTGGATTCACATTTAATATTGTGCCTGTAACACTGTAATTGTTGGGAAGTCTTGGTGAAATGTCAGCGCACTCTCATTAGAGTTCATTTAATTTCCTGACAACACTTTTTATCAGTCTGCTGTGCAACCCACGAGAGATGCTGTCAAGAGGAAGATGTGGTGCACACGCTGTACAGACTGAAGGGGGGTCTCCCTTCCTCTTGCACACAACAAATGGAGCTGCACATTAGCGAGTGCACAATCTGTGCTAATTGGGAATCCAAAAGAGAGCGCTCTCTCGCCCCCTCCCTGTACTAATGACAGCAGCAGGGCTTGAGCAGTCCCCTCCCCCAACTCCCTCGCTTCCACTAAGAGCATGCAAAAAAAGCACACTAGCTGCAGCCATGCATACCAGCGTTGGCAACAGGACTCCGCTTTTGAAAATTCTAAAAAAGCAAGGGAGATCTGAGAAGTCTCACACATTATATGCAGCTAGAATGTCAAATATTGTGGCAGAAATGTTTGTATTTTTATCATACGAGAAAAGTAACTTCACACAATTCAATTAAAATTAGCTATCGCAACTGTTTAATATACCTTGTATTATAATTTCGTTATACATGTTTAGCAATTCTGCTAATGAAAACGATCCCACAGCAGAACTTTTGTCCATGTTTGGTCAACACAACACTATTTAACTACTGAATAAATCTGCGTTTTGAACAAATCAAGATAATAAAGAGTATTGTGCTAAAGTCTTTGGCCAAGACTTGTCATTTCAGTATAATTATGTATATTTATTTACAATCTAGTATGATAATTTCTCTCTCTTCACCTAAACAGTAATAATATTGATACAATGCATTCGGAAAGTATTCCTAGCGCTTCACTTTTTCTTTTTTTATGTAGCAGCCTTATTCCAAAATGGATTAAATTAATTTATTTCCTCAAAATTCTATACACAATACCCCATAATGACAATGTGAAAAAAATATATATTTTAAATTTATATATAAAAGAAAAACCCTGAAAAATCACATGTAAATCAGTATTCACAGCCTTTGCCCTGAAGCTCTAAATTGAGCTCAGGTACATTCTGTTTCTACCGATCATTCTTGAGATGTTCCAGCAGCTTCATTGGATTCACCTGTAGTAAATTCAGTTGATTGTACAGGCTTTAAAAAGGCATACACCTGTTTATATAAGGTCCCTGGGTTAACAGTGCAGGTCAAAGCAAAGGAATTGTCTGTAAGCCTCCGAGACAGAATTGTCTTCAGGCACAAGGCTGGGGAAGGTTACAGAAAAATATCTGTTGCTCTGAAAGTTCCAATGAGCATAGTGGACTCAATCATCCGTAAGTGGAAGATGTTTGGAACCACCAGGACTCTTCCTAGAGCTGGACGGCCATCTAAGCTGAGTGATCAAGGGAGAAGGGCCTATTCAGGGAGGTTATCAATAACCCGATGATCAGTCTGTCTGAGATCCAGCATTCTTCTGTGAAGAGAGGAGAACCTTACAGAAGGACAAGCATCTGTGCGGCAATCTGCCAATCAGGCCTGTATGGTAATTTGGCCAGACTAAAGCCACTCCCTGCCTGGAATTTGCCAAAAGGCAACTGTAGGACTTTCAGACCATAACAAACTAAATTCTCTGGTCTGATGAGACTAAAATTGAACTCTTTGGAGTGAATGCCAGGCGTTATATTAGGAAAAAAACAGGCATCACTCACCACCAGGCTAATACCATCCCTACAGTGAAGCATGATGGTTGCAGCATCATGCTGTGTGGATGTTTTACAGCAGCAGGAACTAGAAGACTAGTCAGGGTAGAGGGAAAGATGAATGCAGCAATGTACAGAGACATCCTGAATGAAAACCTGCTTCAGAGTGCTCTTGACCTCAGACTGGGGTGACGGTTCATCTTCCAGCAGGACAATGACCCAAAACACACCATTAAAATATCAATGGAGTGGCTTCACAACAACTCTGTAAATGTCCTGGAGTGGCCCAGCCAAAGCCTAGACCTAAATCCTATTAAACATCTCTGGAGCGATCAGAAAATGGCTGTACATCGTCACTTCCCATCAAACCTGATAGAGCTTGAGAGGTACTGCAAAGAGGAATGGGCAAAAATTCCCAAAGACAGGTGTGCCAAGCTTGTGGCATTAAATTCAAAAAGACTTGAGGCTGTAGTTTCTGCCAAAGGTGTATTGAGCAAAGGATGTGAATATTTATGTAGATGTGATTGTTCAGTTTTTTTTTTCTTTTTAATAAATTTGCAACAATTTAAAAAAGTCTTTTTTTCACATTGGCATTATGGGGTATTGTGTGTAGAATTTTGAAAAAAATAAATGAATTAAATCCATTTTGAAATAAGGCTGTATCATAAATAAATGTGGAAAAAGTGAAGCGCTATGAATACTTTCCGGATGCACTGTAAATACTGTAGTTTGAAATAAGCAGCTTTTTATTCTGATAAAACGGTTTTGTTTTTCTCAATTTTGTCTACATACTTATTTTCTATCTGTTTTTATCTTAATGCAGAGACCATTCTTATATCCGAAAGGTCATTAAAACACCAAAAACTGTTGAGGGACCAAAAGTTTTGCAAAATACTGTATAATATAATATAAATAGCATAATAATAGAAGTAATGCCATAGATATAAGTAATAAAAAAGTAATAATAAAATGTAATTTTTAAAATAATAGTCACATTTTTTTAAGGCTGGATTAGTTAACGTATTTACCAACATGAACCAAGAATGATCAATACTAGTACAGAATTTATTTATGACAGTTAAACATTTACTAGTGCATTATCAAAATCCAAATTTATACTTGTTACATTAGTTAATCAACATAAAGTGCACATAAACTAATAATGAACAACTTTATTTTCATTAACTAATGTTAATAAATTAATGTTAATAAATTAATAAAAATATATCATATGGATGCAAATAAAGTCTACTGTTTTATATTATGCTTTATACAACAGTTCTGTCTGAATCTTGAATCTGATTGGCTGATAGCCATGAGTCATTAAAGTAAATAATTGTTAATAATGAACAACTTTATTTTCATTAACTAAAAATAACAAAGATTAATTAATAAAATAAAAAAAGAGTAAAAAAAGCATAACAATAGTAAAAAAAACATTAACTATTTGTTCATGTTAGTAAATACCTTAACTAATACAACCTTATTGTAAAGTTTTGACCTACATAATACATGTAACAAAAGTAATAAATACTGTGTGTGCGCGCATGTACATCCATCCATACACACCTTTACCAACCCCCTTTTTTCACAAAAACACATTTGCATTCACAAACATGCAAATAGTAGCTTTCACTGACCTGATGTGCACTTCCCTTTTGTTCTGTAAGACCCTATTGACCCTTCAGTATACACTTTCTTTATGTCCAAACATTGTTCATCAGCACGCAGTGTTTGGCTGAACTCTCTCACCCTCTTCAGGACAACATTAAGCTCTTACCGCTCAATGCATAGCTTGGAGTCAGCTGAGTGAGAGTGTGTCGACACTAACCTAGTTTTGGCTTTTCGGGTGGTGGAAGCGGACGAGCCAGCGGAGTCTTCTGAGACGGAGCGCTGAAAGAGCGGTGACAGAGGCCTTTCGTCTCTGGGGCTGAGATCCAGCGGCTCAGGGAATTCATCGTCGGTTTCTGGCTCCACCACATCTATGAATTTAAACATGAAAGAGACAATTTAATATTTCCTCCCCTAGATTTCTGGCATTTGCTTTTGTTTGAGACAAATGTTTTTGTCAGCACACCTTATTAATTAAGTTAAGCTAAAATTAGTTAAAGTTATTATTGTTATAGCTTCTTTTTTTACCATCACATTAGCAGGCTAGCTTAAAAATGAGCACATAATATTTGTGTAAATAATAGGGCTGTGTTTAATGTTACAACATATATCATATGGATGCAATAGTCTGTTTTTATATTACGCTTTATACAACAATTCTGTCTGGTTCTTGAATCTAATTGGCTGATAGCCATGAGATATTAAACTAATATCAGCACTTGTACAGCCTCTTCACGCTTGAGTATTACTCCGTCCACACGAGTGGCAAGCAGAGGATTACAATTTGACAAGTACAGCAGCTGTTGGACAACATAATGTACTTATGAGGGTTTTTATGTAAGAATGTTGTTGTTTAGATTGCAACTATGCAGTTTATTTATAAGGATAATGCGCATTTTAAAAATTTATAATTGCGGAGATTCAGCACATTGGCGGCCATCAGCCTGCCATACTGAGCAGAGCAAAGACGGTTGACTTTCCACCACAAGATGGTGACAGAGACCGCATTGTAAGTCCTTAGGGGACTATGTTTCAAACTACAGCTGAACAAATCATTACAGAACAGGTAAGTGACACTCTGATTCGATCTCTCTGTTTTGTATTTTGTAGTGTTGTATTTCTACTATAGTAATCTGGTAGTGTTTGCTTTGATTTGGCTTTTTCAAGGTTTATTATTGTGAAATTCTGATTGCAACAAAGAACTACTGGGAAATCTCTGTAGACAGACGGCATTTCATGCTGTTCAGCCTTATAATGTTAAAATGTGAGCAGAATCACCTGTTTTGTTCTCATTTTAGACATTACACGAGAGAATCATTCAAATTCTAGCTCTAAAGTGACGTTGGTGAATTAGTAACGGTTTCTGCTGTTTTGACGTCAGCTGCAGATGTGAAGGAATGGTGGAAGAAAGTAGTTCTTCTTACAAAAGGGTTTTTGAGCCTCTCCATGTTTGATTTTCTTATTTATATACACAATTATGCCGTCAAACTGTTGTATAAAAGCAATATCACACTCTTGGCAGTGCGATATGGCTGTATATCATCACTGGTGGGACAATAAGGCACTCCACTCACCAGTGTCGATATACATCCATGTCGCACTGTATCAATTTGATGAGCGAATGCAGACTGAAATGTGAATAAAAGCATGGAGAGAAAGTACATTTACATTTTGAATTTTATTTTGCAATATTTACCATCTGACCTCTCGTCATTTTTGAAAAAGTGTTTTATATTTTACAATAACATATGAATGAGTAGTTTTGAGTAAAATGTAAGAATCTTTTTCCATGTATAGTTGATGATAAAATTATTAGCCCTCCTGTAAAATATTTATTCTTTTACAAATATTTCTCAAGTGATATTTAAGGGAGTAAGAACATTTTGCACAGTATTTCCAACAATATTTTTTTCTTCTGGAGAAAGTTTTATTTGTTTTATTTTGCCTTGATTAAAAGCATTTTTTTTAGCCATTTTAAGGTCAAAATTATTAGCCCCCTTAAGCTGTTTCTTTTTTTTTCTTTTTCAATTGGCTACAGAACAAACCATTGCAATACAATGACTTGCCTAATTAATCTAAATTGCCTAATTAACCTAGTTAATCCTTAAATTTGCACTTTAAGCTGAATAATAGTATCTTGAAAAATATCCAGTAAAATATTTTATTCTGTCATCATGAAAAAGATAAAATAAATCAGTTATTAGTAATAAGCTATTAAAACTATTATGTTTAGAAATGAGTTGAAAAATTTTCTAATCAGAAAGAATCTTCTCTGTTTACCAGAACTTGTAGAAAAATTATGTAAAATAATTAAAATTAAACTATTCATTATTCACCATTCAACTATTCAAACTATTGATTAACAGAATTTACAGAAAAGGTTATATATGGTGAAACATATCAGAATATGAGATTACTTGTACCATGATTCAACATTTTTGTCATGTCACTCAACCCTAATAGATTTAAAATATTCTGGTTTCTTAACTCAAAAGAAAAATGTGCATTGTGAACGCATTGTTATTGTAATAGCCAATTCTTTGTATTACCTTGACAAGATGTTTGAACTGAACCCAATACTACAAAAGATACTTAATAAACCACTATACAAACACACTGAAGCTTCTACAAACAACAGTTATCAATCAAGTTTTTCTGCATAACCAGAAACACAAGCTGGCTTTCGGGGAAACTTTTCATACACCCACCGAACAGGTGGAAACTGGTAAAGAATGTGGACTTGCAGCAGTATGACGTTCATATCTGTATACATCATGTATTAGTGCTGCATTAAAGACATACGAGCTGGCATTCAAATATGCTAATTTGATTTATGCACAAAACTTCAATATCGCATAAAACAATTGTGAATAAAAGACACTTTGAACAAAACAAAAGTGAACAAAGTAAACAACGTGAACATAAATAGTTCCTAATAATACTCACTGCCAAATATCAAAGACAAATGGAATTTGCTATGCTCCGGGAAGCCACTGTGGTCTTTTTATAATATCCGCTTGTTAAGTCTGACGTCACATGAAGCAGCGTTAAGGTCCAAGCACTCAATCAAACTGTTTGGAGAGGCTCAAAACATGATAATAATAAACATAAGCGCTGTAACGCTTTCGAAAATCATGATCGCAATAAATATGTCCATGCCTAATATCAAATATCACCAGAAAGTGGTTCATTTTTCATACATTTTAAAATATTGGTGTCTGTGATGCAGCAAGTAAAGAGACTGTTGTTTACACCCTGATTTTGTAAGAAATTCACTTTAATGTGTGATATGACTAAAAATTGATCATAATCAAATATTTTCAATTCGAATGAGTAGCGGTTTGGACCCGGAAACAGTTCATAGATCACATATTAACAAGCGGTTAATAAATAAGAAGAGGCCACAAATACCTGTGACCATAACGCCTTTGTAAAATGACAATAATGATGCATAAAATTAAAGTACAAAGCCAAACATAGCCAAACCTCTCATATAAATGAATTATGTGTGTGACTATTATTTAAAATTGAAATGATTTGCTTCATTTGCTGAATTGAAGTTCACAAAACCGGAAGTGCAACCCATAATTTAAAACGCAAACATCATGTGAAGACAAAAGATAGTTAGTTTATGCGATCACACAAGCATGAAGGAGTATGCAGCAGAAAATCATGTTTTTTTTTTTACTTCACACAGCTCCACTTCTGAAGATGCATGACTTCAAGGTGACTCTGGCAGAGCAGCACTTGCTGACTTATTTAAGGAGCCCGAACAGCTGTTGATGAAGTCTTTTGGAACAATTTAAGCTTTGAGAAACAACAATGCACTTACTTCATGCAAAAGCTGGCCAAGGCTTTTAAAATAAATGAAGCTCTGCTGTGTAATATAAGGCTTCTTTTAGCACTTGCTAAAGTTCTTCTTCAGGTTTAGAGTGTCATTTCTGTCTTTTCTGTCCCAGCCTCTATAATATTCAAGTCTGGGCTCTGTGGAGGCCATTTCATGAATGTCAGCTGTTTCTTTCTCCAAATACGATTTAACTGCAATTAGGAAATTATGATCATGCTGAAAATGAAAACTATTAACACTGAAGTCCTTTCCAGAAGGAATTTGCTTGAATTATAACCTATCTGTACTTTTCAACATTCATAACTCCATCAATTCACACTATATTGCCAAAAACACGGGCAGAAATGAAGCTCAAACCAGGACAGCCTCACTCAAAACATTGTTATTAAAATGTCTTAAACAAATAAACCAAAATAATTCAAACTCTAACCTAATTCCCACCCTAACAAACCATACATCAACTGAAATACAATCAATTCAACATATATAAATCTCAATTTAAAAAGCAAATACAAATATTTTATGCTTTTGACTGTTTTTGTGGTAAAGGGTCACATATATCCATTATACCATCAGTTAAACAGTTTGAATTATTATACCATCACTGTCACATTGAAGTAATAGAAACCCAATAAGTCTCTTTATTTAAATTTTCTGTTGTTAAAATAGGATCAAATCCCTCCCATTTTGAGGCCCACGAAAACATGCCAGGAGTGCCATTTCCCCGCCCACTGAATTGATTGACAGCTGCGTATTAACATGTCTCTGTAGTAACGTATATAATCATATCAAAAAGACAGAATGTGCGCAAAGTAGCTGGGATTAAAAGATCTGTTCAGCGCTCTGTGATCATCAATCATCATCAAATATGATCAAGAATGAGTTTTACAAGTTTAAAACGCTTTTAAAACAGTGAGTGTGTCTCACCACTGTCGAAAGGCTTCAATTAACTCCCAACAAATATAATGTTCACAATTAATTTGGATGGTCTGTTTGTTGAATTTAAGTTACATTGCATCTAAATGCCAACTAATTCTCATTAGATTATAAGTAGACTGTTGCGGTTAGGGTTAGTGTAAGTTGACATGTACTTGCAAAGTTTCTTATAGTTAGTTAAATGTCTGTTGAAGGAGCTTCATCAACAAATATTAAGTAGACAGTCTACTAATACTCAATTGGACCATCAAAATAAAGTGTTTCTAAAATAACAAATAACCTTTGATAAAGTTCTTACTGTGGTAAGGGAGATGTCTTCATTCTTGTCTGTCACTGTGCTGTTTATCTACGTGAATGACTGAGTTAAACAAATGTGTTTTATTTAAAAAATGTCTAACTTTTTATGACCCAGCGGAAACCTTATTTAATATTCTAGATACATACTCTGACTTAATAAAGACTTCACTTATTTACTCTGAACATTATAGTGTATAATGTGCCACAACATCACCTAGAGCACTGCATCTAAAAAAAAAATAGAATTTCTGTGCTGTGGACACTGACACTTTGCTCTTCTGAACAACAATGTTTAAAGAAGAAAACACACGCACACACAAATACAATGCGTCACAGAAAGCCACTAGAATGGGAGCCATGACCTTTAGATCAACCTTTAAAAGGATGAAAATGGCTCGTTTCATAGCAGGATTGCCCACACAGCACTTGTTAAAGCGATGTTTGAAAAGGCAGAACATTGTTTTTTCCACTGTTCAAAAGAGCATTCATGTCAGCAGACACAAGAAACAGGGACAACAGAGGACACCGAAACAGGTGTGAACATGAGTTTGATGCCCATAACTGTTGTGGATAAAAACATATCAGTGTAAAATGAAGAATAACAGTAGCTGTTATTAGGGAGTCAATTTTCCACCATTCACAAGCCAAAACACAGCCTATTGCTGGAGAATAAAGATAAGTATTGTGTTTAAAATCATAACTCTAAGTGTGTGTTCACACTAGACGCGGATGAAGCATCAAGCGCAAGTGATTTACATGTTAAGTTGAACAGACATCCTGCGGCGTGAATGATGTGATTTGCATGAATGAAGCGGTACGAGTTGAGCATTTTGCATATTTGACGAGTGTGTCGCGCGAATGGCTCAAGTAGAAGAATCTGAACTTCTCGCGCCACGTTAACCATTTAGGAGCTTACTCTTGTAGTGAAGTGATTCCACGTCCTCCTATCCTGACCTTGAAAATATAATTGGCAGAATCGTCGAAAAGCTGAATTAAAATTGTGTGTAGGGTGGAATCGAGACCGTGATCTTTTTTCGATTAATCCTGCAGCCCTAGTGCTAGCCATGCGATATTCTGAAATGACACTTGGACAGCCTCCTCACCCTTCTGTATTACTCCGCCCACATGGAGTGACAGCAGATCAATAAACTCACTACAGTTTGACAAATATTGCAGCTGTTGGGCAACATAATGTACTTTTGAGTATTCTTCAGGTGAGAATGCAGTTGTTTAGATTGCATTTATGCAGTTTATTTATAAGGATAGTGCCTATTTTAAACATTTATAATTTCTAAATACCTATATAGACCACGAAACTGTGGACCAGTTTAAAGAGAGTTTACTTGCACATGACTTGTTTTAGCTATTTTGGTCCATTTAAAAACTTTGCCGTGTGAAAGTGAGCCGCACCAAGAACAAAGAGTAAAGGCTCCTACACACCGGGACGCTTTTTACGAGACGTTTTTCAGTATTCAAACCCAATCGCTTTTCACTGGCGTCAAGCTAAAACAGAATGCAAAATCACTCTTTTGACGTTAGATGCACAACATTAAGCTTCTGACACCCGCTTATAACACAGAAGAAGAGGAGGAGAGGAAGTTTGCACGTTTGTTGTTAAAGTTACTGGTGAATCGAACAAGCATGGATGGTTCAAGCAGCAGCTGCAGCTCTAGCGATGAAGAAATGATTAGTGTTCACAAGAGCAATAAGCAGCCCCATGTTCATATCGCCTCCGGGCATCCTCTTCAATGAGCGCCTCCAAGTGACGTTTACTGTAACTTCAGCAGCTCCGTGCATGTGAACAAAAGTGCCGATCTTATTGGTGGAGAAGGTTTTGACATGACGCGTCAAAACAAAAAATAAATGAGCATAAGGCGTTTTTATTTTAAATGACGCTTTTGCGCCTGTCGTTTTGAGCGTTGGTCTGCACGATCACATTGACGCCCTTTATTTAGTCACGAGGCGTTAAACGTCGACAGAAAACGCAAGCAAAAACGTCTCAGTGTGCACGGGCCTTAACATTGTAACAATTGTAATCCCCTTTGGAACAAAACAATCTATCTACAGGTGTGAAAGCACCCTAAATAGGGTATATGCCAAAGCATGCTAATAGGACTTTTAACTTGTCAGTAACCTGGGTTAATCCTTTGCGGTGAATTGTATGCCAATGCAAAATCGGTGCGTTTAAGGTCTGTTTTCTTTCGAAATCAGCGATTTCCACTGGCTGACTGATATCCGATATAAAGTGAGTCTCAGATTATACAGGAAGCACAGCATTAAATTACATTTCCCCCGCCATGTTTTTATAATATGAGCATATATTTTACCCCAGTATATTCAAAGGAGCTTTTGCACTAGCCTGCCGATTCTGACGGCCGCGTGCGAGCAAACAGATTTTTGTCTCTTTTAACGCTTGAGCAGCTAAATGAATGCCAAAGTCTATTTAACTGATTGCATTTGAATTACATTACAACATCGATGCTGTAAGAAGGTCCGTATAAAATGGAAAAAAACTTACAATGACAGGTCACCGGAAGTTTATCAGTATGGGAGCTCAGCATATACCCCATTAACCGCAGAGACACCACAAATCTCATGTTTTGCTTTAATCCCAACATATAAGTTGGACATTGGATACTCTGTGATGTGACTATATTGCAGATCACACATTGCGATATCCATGCTGAAGTAATATATTGCACAGCCCCACTGTATGTCCACACATGTAACTGAATGATAAATAAGCTCAACTTGATTTGATAAGCAGCAAACCGGTAGAATCAAATATTATTAATAGTGTGAAGGTTCATCGATGTAGCAAAGCACAGCATTACATGCACGAAGGTGTACAGCAGCAAAAAAAAAATATCCATGGATAAACAACAGCAGAAGTGTCATTCTGATATTTATTACGCTCTGTCATTGACGGAGTCAGAGAACAGATTAAAATAACACAAGCTTCAGGTGACAGTCGGATAACAGAATACATGATGAATGTGTGTGAACTGAAAGCAATGAATATGTTAAAAGCTTTCTGTAAGTGTTAATGATCTGCCAACACGCTGACTAACACCTCGGAGTATAACTCAAATGAGCAAAAGGGCAGAAGGGTGTTGAAATGTGCTTTTTGTATAAAAGACACATACTGCTCTGATCACCAACTGAAATAATAGTAAATAAAGTGTCTTGTTTACGCTCACACAGCTACAACAAAACTGTTACAGCGTGCAATTAACATCTGCATTAATAAATAATACATCAGTCAATAAACCACAGAAAGTCTATCCGCATCGCACATGAATGCAAATATATACACAACATTGTGCATGATGAAATAAAGCCAACAAGGCACGCTGAAATAAATACTACAGCTGGAATAAAAGCAGAAAATGTTTGCATCTGAAGCAACGTCATACCAATTAAAGGATTTTTGGACAAATATAATGAAGGCATACAAAACATATAGTATTAATATACTGTTTTATTGTAAATAAATTACACATATCATATAATTTTAAAAAATCTACATTAGGGTCTGTAAAATACGTTGTATTGCTTAACCTTCTATTTAGACCAGAGGTACCAGTTTTGTCACTGTAGCTAATTATTGTGCGATATATTGCACCCAAAAATGATTGCGATAAACGATATTGTTGATTTAAACACCATTTTATGCAACTAATAATAACTAATAAAGACATTATAAGAACATAATAGCATAATAATGCAAGTGCAGTCTTTCAAAGAACGCAAAATATTTTATTCTTAAGGATATTTAGGCATTGGAACAGATAAAAGGCAACAAAAAAGTAAAATGTAGAAAGAATTATAACAAAAAGCAACACGTTTAGTAAAGTCATTTTAGACTTTTAAAGTGTCCCACACAGACGCCTCAACAAGCCATGTTTGCTACCAGATCTATTTTTTATTTTATTTTAAAAATGTACAGTAATTTAATAATATTTTATAGTGATGATAATTTATATCAATGGTGCTGGCTTTCGCCAAATTTTTTAAATTTCAATAAAGAAAAAACTGAGCTGGTCTGGTTTGGCGATCCTAACCCACTGCATTTATCAGGTTTTGGTGAGCTTTCCACTTATCAAAAACCTGTTGTTAGAAACTTAGGATTTCAATTCGACAGTGATCTGAAATTTAACAAACAAGTAAATACAGTTGTTAAATCCAGTTTTTTCCATTTACGACTTGTGGTAAAAGTAAAGTCGTTTCTCTCTTGTAATGACGCCATCCTTGTTCTTTAGTATTTGAGCCTTTTTAATGTTGAGGGGGTTGCCTTATGTTTTAATTCTTATATATGTGATGTAGATTTTATTTTTAGTATTGATTGTATTCAGCACTTTGGGCAACGTTGTGTTGTAAAAAATGTGCTATATAAATAAATTAACTAACTAACTAACTGTTGTGGTAAATGAAAGTAGACAAATTTTTTGCATAAATAAATCCAACGCATTGTTATTACGAATGAAAAAACAAAACTGATATTATTAACTATAATTCATAACATCATTTGATTGATTGATTGAGAACTAAACAACACTGATCATATCATAGTCTTTATTTTATTTACAAATTTTCAGTACCTAGTCATTTTATATCATTTTATATTCATGTAAAAATTAACATAAACAAAGTGAAAGCTCCAGGACATTTAACAGACCTGCTATTTGCTCATTTTGCTCAGAAAATAATAAATAATGAGAAAAACAATAAATAAATTAATCAATATTATTATTGGTATATGAAAATCCATCTTTTCTAGTCATTTCTACAAAACCAACTTGTTTCTTTTTTTACTATACATGAGGTGCATGCTTACATATCTACATGCATGCATACTTGATTAAATGAATGAACCTCTTACCAATCTCTGGTGTGATTTCAATGTCTGGAGTTGGTGTGACATCAGTGGCATCCATGCTGTCCTCATCATCGGCCTGTACACAACCTCGACTACGCGAC